GACACCTGAGATGGGTATCAGTAATTAATTAATAAAGCTAAGCAGATACAGGACACTGGCCTTAATTGGTTTCATGATGGCACCCTTTTCGTGGATAAGGGAAGAACATTTCCAAAAGGACAAAAGGGTGAAACTTCTATCGAAAAACATCAACAAATTTCGATAAAATTTTCCTATAGAAAATTTTAGCGATTTTCGATGAAATTTTCCTGTAGAAAATTTTAGCGATTTTCGATGAAATTTTCCTATAGAAAATTTTAGCGATTTTTGATGAAATTTTCCTATAGAAAATTTTAGCGATTTTCGATGAAATTTTCCTATAGAAAATTTTAGCGATTTTCGATGAGATTTTCCTATAGAAAATTTTAGCGATTTTCGATGAGATTTTCCTATAGAAAATTTTAGCGATTTTCGATGAGATTTTCCTATAGAAAATTTTAGCGATTTTCGATAAAATTTTCCTATAGAAAATTTTAGCGATTTTCAATGAAATTTTCCTATAGAAAATTTTAGCGATTTTCGATGAAATTTTCCTATAGACAATTTTAGCGATTTTCGATGAAATTTTCTTATAGAAAATTTTAGCGATTTTCGATGAAATTTTCCTATAGAAAATTTTAGCGATTTTCGATGAAATTTTCCTATAGAAAATTTTAGCGATTTTCGATGAAATTTTCCTATAGAAAATTTTAGCGATTTTCGATGAAATTTTCCTATAGAAAATTTTAGCGATTTTCGATGAAATTTTCCTATAGAAAGTTTTAGCGATTTTCGATGAAATTTTCCTATAGAAAGTTTTAGCGATTTTCGCCAAGATTTTTGTATAGAAAATTTTGGTGATTATCGCCAATTTTTTTCCAAGGAAAATTTTAGCGATTATCGCCAATATTTTTCCATAGAAAATTTTAGCGATTATCGCCAATATTTTTCCATAGAAAATTTTGGCGATTATCGCCAATATTTTTCCATACAAAATTTTCGCGATTATCGCCAAGATTTTTCCATACAAAATTTTCGCGATTATCGCCAAGATTTTTCCATACAAAATTTTCGCGATTATCGCCAAGATTTTTGTATAGAAAATTTTGGTGATTCTAGCCAATATTTTTCCATAGAAAATTTTAGCAATTATCGCCAATATTTTTCTATAGAACATTTGGCGATTAACGCCACTATTTTTCCATGGAAAATTTTCGCGATTATCGCCAAGATTTTTGTATAGAAAATTTTGGCGATTTTAGCCAAGATTTTTGTATAGAAAATTTTGGCGACTTTCGCCAAGATTTTTGTATAGAAAATTTTGGCGATTATCGCCAAAATTTTTGTATAGAAAAATTTAGCGATTTTCGCCAAGTTTTTTGTATTGGAAATTTTGGCGATTTTCGCCAAGTTTTTTGTATTGGAAATTTTGGCGATTTTCGCCAAGATTTCTGAATAGAAAATTTGGCTATTATTACCAAGTTTATTGTTTAGAAAATTTCGGCGATTTTCGCCAAGATTTTTGTATAGAAAATTTTGGTGATTATCGCCAAGATATTTGTATAGAAAATTTTGGCGATTTTTCTTTCAAAAAAATTTGGCGATTTTCGTTTGCTGGATTCATACTTACACTTTCTTCCAATCGAACATCCAAGTTAGTGAAACATGTTTGATTCTCCCTTAGAAGTTGTCCGTTCTGTGTGATTAAATCTTCGAACCCCAGCATTGCGTATAAAAGTATGGCCAGGTCCACAAAGTACATCGTTAGGGCAATCGGCATCCAAACCTTTACCCAGGGGCTGTAGGCCTCCCATGGAATATTTGCCGTGCAGTACATCATATAAATTACCGATATACTGTTCAGATATGTAGTGAGCAGGACACATACTCCCTGGACTTCATACATGTCGTTGACACGTCGGGCGAGTTTCCGCAAATCGATTTGATATCTGGCCAATTCATCTACTTCATCCGCAAATTTACAGCACTGGGTGATAAAGAAGCCAGCATGGACTTGTCCCAGATGCTGTAGGTGGGAAAGGTGTTCAGATTTCTGGAGAATCGTCGACAACTCCTCATTGATGGCGGCCAGTATAATATTGATGTGCACGAAGCAAAAGAAATAACTTGTAATGACCAGATTTATCACATTGGACATAATGGCCAGGCCCAGAAGGGCCGGGATATTGTCCAAATTAAACTGGTGTTTAAAGAATTCAAAGGATCCAAACAGTAGACCCAAACTCGAAGCACAACCCCAAGAGAATTTTGAACGAATTAGCTGCTCATATTTGTCCTCCAACTTTCTGCTCAAGGGCCATTTTGATGTGAATTCCTTTTTCAGGCTGATCAAAGCCCCCAAAATTCCCATAAATTCCTGGCGTTTGGTCCAATTGAAGATCACCGTTACCAAGATGGCTGCTGTTCGTATCACAAATATCAGGAAATTTATTTTGGCATGAAAGTATTTCGGATTAACGGCAAAGTGCCGCATCATGGGCAGAGCGGCAAACATGGCCAGGCTGACGAGAGCACAGTAGATGGTCAGCCATGTGGCTGTGTAAATTTCACCGGTACGATGATTGTAGCAAAAGGATATGGTGCCCACCAGATGAGCGGCGGCCAAAAAGACGAGAATCATAAAATTCGTAGACCAACGCATGACGTTGTCTATGGACGGCAGATAACTAATTCAAGGTAAGGCACATGAAATAGTAAAGGGTTTTTGTTTGGTGTAACTATTCCTATCATTCCGACAATCTAATTCACATACAAACATACATATGTATGTGTACTAATTTCCAAATTTTAACAGTCTATGGCTCAGGATAGCTTAATTACACTCTCTTCACTAATGTCGTTATTATCGAAAATCGGTAAAATTTTCCATAAAAAATGTACCCCAAATTTTCCAAAAAAAATATTGAACATTTTTCAATACAAAAATCTTGGCGATAATCGCAAAAATTTTCTATACAAAAATCTTGGCGATAATCGCCAAAATTTTCTATACAAAAATCTTGGCGATAATCGCCAAAATTTTCTATACAAAAATCTTGGCGATAATCGCCAAAATTTTCTATACAAAAATCTTGGCGATAATCGCCAAAATTTTCTATACAAAAATCTTGGCGATAATCGCCAAAATTTTCTATACAAAAATCTCGGGGATAATCGCCAAAAATTTTCTATACAAAAATCTCGGGGATAATCGCCAAAATTTTCTATACAAAAATCTTGGCGATAATCGCCAAAATTTTCTATTGAAAAATATTGGCGATAATCGCCAAAATTTTCTATTGGCGAAAATCGCCAAAATTTTCTATTGAAAAATATTGGCGAAAATCCCCAAAATTTTCTATTGAAAAATATTGGCGATAATCGCCAAAATTTTCCATACAAAAATCTTGGCGATAATCCCCAAAAATTACTATGGAAAAGTCTTGGCGATAATCGCCAAAATTTTCTATACAAAAATCTTGGCGATAATCGCCAAAATTTTCTATACAAAAATCTTGGCGATAATCGCCAAAAATTTTCTATTGAAAAATATTGGCGATAATCGCCAAAAATTTTCTATTGAAAAATATTGGCGATAATCGCCAAAAATTTTCTATTGAAAAATATTGGCGATAATCGCCAAAAATTTTCTATTGAAAAATATTGGCGATAATCGCCAAAAATTTTCTATTGAAAAATATTGGCGATTATCGCGATAAACATTTTCTATGGAAAAATATTGGCGATAATCGCCAACATTTCCTATGGAAAAATATTGGCGATAATCGTCAACATATTCTATGGAAAAATATTGGCGATAATCGCCAAAATTTTCTAATGAAAAATATTGGCGATAATCGCCAAAATTTTCTATTGAAAAATATTGGCTATAATCGCCAAAATTTTCTATACAAATATCTTGGCGATAATTGCCAAAATTTTCTATACAACAATCTTTGCGGAAATCGCCAAAATTTTCTATGGAAAAATATTGGCGATAATCGCCAAAATTTTCTATGGAAAAATATTGGCGATAATCGCCAAAATTTTCTATGGAAAAATATTGGCGATAATCGCCAAAATTTTCTATAGAAAAATATTGGCGATAATCGCCAAAATTAGCTATTGAAAAATATTGGCGATAATCGCCAAAATTAGCTATTGAAAGATATTGGCGATAATCGCCAAAATTAGCTATTGAAAAATATTGGCGATAATCGCCAAAATTAGCTATTGAAAAATATTGGCGATAATCGCCAAAATTAGCTATTGAAAAATATTGTTGATAATCGCCAAAATTAGCTATTGAAAAATATTGGCGATAATCGCCAAAATTTTCTATTGAAAAATATTGGCGTTAATCGCCAAAATTAGCTATTGAAAAATATTGGCGATAATCGCCAAAATTAGCTATTGAAAAATATTGGCGATAATCGCCAAAATTTTCTATTGAAAAATATTGGCGATAATCGCCAAAATTTTCTATTGAAAAATATTGGCGATAATCGCCAAAATTTTCTATTGAAAAATATTGGCGATAATCGCCAAAATTTTCTATTGAAAAATATTGGCGATAATCGCCAAAATTTTCTATTGAAAAATATTTGCGATAATCGCCAAAATTCTCTATTGAAAAATATTGGCGATAATCGCCAAAATTTTCTATTGAAAAATATTGGCGATAATCGCCAAAATTTTCTATTGAAAAATATTGGCGATAATCGCCAAAATTTTCTATTGAAAAATATTGGCGATAATCGCCAAAATTTTCTATTGAAAAATATTGGCGATAATCGCCAAAATTCTCTATTGAAAATATTGGCGATAATCGCCAAAATTTTCTATTGAAAAATATTGGCGATAATCGCCAAAATTCTCTATTGAAAAATATTGGCGATAATCGCCAGAATTTTCTATTGAAAAATATTGACGATAATCACCACAATTTTCTTGGCAATAATCGCCGCAATTTTCTATCCAAAAATTTTATTATTTTCTAATTTCCGATCATTTATACTCACACTTTCTTCCAGTCTCACATCCAAGTTGGTCAAACACGTCTGATGTTCTTTTAAAATCCGCCCACAATCAATAAGCAAATCCTGATATTCCAACATTGTGAATAGGAACACATTCAAATCCATGAAGTACAAAAACAACGCGATCGTTGTAAAGACCAGCCTAATTTTCGTATACTCATCCCACAAAATGTGAAGCGAAATATAGGCATCGTAAATCACCGATATGCTATTCAAGTACACCGACAGCAAAACACAGGAACCCTGGACTTCATACATGCCATTGATGTTCCGGGCCAATTTTCGAAACTCCAACTGAAACCTGGCCAATTCATCTAAATCATCGGCAAATTTACAGCATTGGGTTATAAAAAAGCCAGCATGGGTTTGTCCACGACTACGCAAGTAGGCTAGGTTTTCAGACTTCTTCAGAATCCGGGTTACTTCCTCATTGATGGCAGCCAGGAAAATATTGATCCGTAGAATGCAAAAAAAGTAACTTGTCAGGACCACATTGAGGATGTTCGTCATGAGAGCCAAGAACAAAATCATCCAAACATTATTGATGTTTAGCTCAATTTTCAAATAGCCCATAAATCCCACAAATACGACCAGACTTGACGAAACGCCCCAGCAGAATTTTCTTCGTAGTGTCCTATCGAACTTCTCCTCCATATTCTGACTCAAAGGCCACTTTTTTTCGAATTCTATTCTTAATTTTTTTAAATTTCTCAGATATTCCATGAAGGCACAACGTTTGGTCCAATTGAAGATCATCGTCACCAGAACAGCCGTTATTCGTATCACAAAAATGGAGAAGTTAATTTTGACATGGATACGTTTGCCACTGATGTTGATGTTTCGCAACATGGGCACCACTCCAAACATGGCCACACTGATGACGGCGGTATAGATGGTTAACCAGGGGGTTGTGTAAATTTCACCGGTGCGATGATTGTAGAAAAAGGAGAGGATGCCCAAAACATGAGCGGTCGCCAATGTAACTTTAACCATCAAACGTGTAGACTTTCTCATGACGTTTCACGACATACTGACCGGACCACCATTCACACAAAACGGAAATGCTTTTGATTCCTGAGTTATGTGAATGTCTCATTATGAGATTGCCTATCAGAGACTAATTACCAAACACAGAAATCGAGATTTCTATGGAAAAATATACACACACATACACACATATGGGTGTATCCCTCCACATACAAAGCCGACAGAAACTTTCAATATAAAATTTTGGCGATTATTGCCAAGATTTTTCCATAGAAAATTTTGGCGATTTTTTCCATAGAAAATTTTGGCGATTAACGACAAGATTTTTCCATAGAAAATTTTGTCGGTAATCGCCAATATTTTTCCATAAAAAATTTTGGCGATTATCGCCAATATTTTTCCATAAAAAATTTTGGCGATTATCGCCAATATTTTTCCATAGAAAATTTTGCCGATTATCGCCAATATTTTTCCATAGAAAATTTTGGCGATTATCGCCAATATTTTTCCATAGAAAATTTTGGCGATTATCGCCAATATTTTACCATAGAAAATTTTGGCGATTATCGCCAATATTTTTCCATAGAAAATTTTGGCGATTATCGCCAATATTTTTCCATAGAAAATTTTGGCGATTATCGCCAAGATTTTTGTATAGAAAATTTTGGCGATTATCGCCAAGATTTTTGTATAGAAAATTTTGGCGATTATCGCCAAGATTTTTGTATAGAAAATTTTGGCGATTATCGCCAAGATTTTTGTATAGAAAATTTTGGCGATTATCGCCAAGATTTTTGTATAGAAAATTTTGGCGATTATCGCCAAGATTTTTGTATAGAAAATTTTGGCGATTATCGCCAAGATTTTTGTATAGAAAATTTTGGCGATTATCGCCAATATTTTTCCATAGAAAATTTTGGCGATTATCGCCAATATTTTTCCATAGAAAATTTTGGCGATTATCGCCAGTATTTTTCCATAGAAAATTTTGGCGATTATCGCCAATATTTTTCCATAGAAAATTTTGGCGATTATCGCCAATATTTTTCCATAGAAAATTTTGGCGATTATCGCCTAGATTTTTGTATAGAAAATTTTGGCGATTATCGCCAAGATTTTTCCATAGAAAATTTGAGCGATTATTTCTAATATTATTCGATTGAAAATTTTGGCGATTATCACCTAGATTTTTCCATAGAAAATTTTGGCGATTATCGCCAATATTTTTCCATAGAAAATTTTGGCGATTATCGCCAATATTTTTCCATAGAAAATTTTGGCGATTATTGCCAATATTTTTCCATAGAAAATTTTGGCGATTATCGCCAATATTTTTCCACAGAAAATTTTGTCGATTATCGCCAATATTTTTCCATAGAAAATTTTGGCGATTATCGCCAATATTTTTCCATAGAAAATTTTGGCGATTATCGCCAATATTTTTCCATAGAAAATTTTGGCGATTATCGCCAATATTTTTCCATAGAAAATTTTGGCGATTATCGCCAATATTTTTCCATAGAAAATTTTGGCGATTATCGCCAATATTTTTCCATAGAAAATTTTGGCGATTATCGCCAATATTTTTCCATAGAAAATTTTGGCGATTATCGCCAATATTTTTCCATAGAAAATTTTAGCGATTATCGCCAATATTTTTCCATAGAAAATTTTAGCGATTATCGGCAATATTTTTTCATAGAAAATGTTGTCGATTATCGCCAATATTTTTCCATAGAAAATTTTGGCTATTATCGCCAATATTTTTCCATAGAAAATTTTGGCGATTATCGACAATATTTTTCCACAGAAAATTTTGGCGATTATCGACAATATTTTTCCACAGAAAATTTTGGCGATTATCGACAATATTTTTCCACAGAAAATCTTAGCGATTATCGCCAATATTTTTCCACAGAAAATCTTAGCGATTATCGCCAATATTTTTCCACAGAAAATCTTAGCGATTATCGCCAATATTTTTCCATAGAAAATCTTAGCGATTATCGCCAATATTTTTCCATAGAAAATTTTGGCGATTATCACCAATATTTTTCCATAGAAAATTTTGGCGATATCGCCATTGTTTTCCAATAGACAATTTTAGCGATTATGTCCAATGTTTTCCAATAGAACATTTTGGCGATTATATCCAATGTTCTCCAATAGAAAATATTGGTTATTATCGTCAATATTTTTCCATAGAAAATTTTGGCGATTATCCCCAATATTTTTGCATAGAAAATTTTGGCGATTATCACCAAGATTTTTGTATAGAAAAGTTTGGCAATTATCGCCTCGATTTTTGTATAGAAAATTTTGGCGATTATCGCCATTGTTTTCCAATAGACAATTTTAGCGATTATGTCCAATGTTTTCCAATAGAACATTTTGGCGATTATATCCAATGTTCTCCAATAGAAAATATTGGTTATTATCGTCAATATTTTTCCATAGAAAATTTTGGCGATTATCCCCAATATTTTTGCATAGAAAATTTTGGCGATTATCGCCAATATTTTTCCATAGAAAATTTTGGCGATTATCGCCAATATTTTTCCATAGAAAATTTTAGCGATTATCGCCAATATTTTTCCATAGAAAATTTTAGCGATTATCGGCAATATTTTTTCATAGAAAATGTTGTCGATTATCGCCAATATTTTTCCATAGAAATTTTGGCTATTATCGCCAATATTTTTCCATAGAAAATTTTGGCGATTATCGACAATATTTTTCCACAGAAAATTTTGGCGATTATCGACAATATTTTTCCACAGAAAATTTTGGCGATTATCGACAATATTTTTCCACAGAAAATCTTAGCGATTATCGCCAATATTTTTCCACAGAAAATCTTAGCGATTATCGCCAATATTTTTCCACAGAAAATCTTAGCGATTATCGCCAATATTTTTCCATAGAAAATTTTGGCGAATATCACCAATATTTTTCCATAGAAAGTTTTGGCGATATCGCCATTGTTTTCCAATAGATAATTTTAGCGATTATGTCCAATGTTTTCCAATAGAACATTTTGGCGATTATATCCAATGTTCTCCAATAGAAAATATTGGTTATTATCGTCAATATTTTTCCATAGAAAATTTTGGCGATTATCCCCAATATTTTTGCATAGAAAATTTTGGCGATTATCACCAAGATTTTTGTATAGAAAAGTTTGGCAATTATCGCCTCGATTTTTGTATAGAAAATTTTGGCGATTATCGCCAATATTTTTCCATAGAAAATTTTGGCGATTATCGCCAATATTTTTCCATAGAAAATTTTGGCGATTATCGCCAATATTTTTCTATAGAAAATTTTGGCGATTATCGCCAATATTTTTCTATAGAAAATTTTGGCGATTATCGCCAATATTTTTCTATAGAAAATTTTGGCGATTATCGCAAATATTTTTCTATAGAAAATTTTGGCGATTATCGCAAATACTTTTCTATAGAAAATTTTGGCGATTATCACCAATATTTTTCCATAGAAAATTTTGGCGATTATCGCCAATATTTTTCCATAGAAAATTTTGGCGATTATCGCCAAAATTTTTACATAGAAAATTTTGACGATTATCGGCAAAATTTTTACATAGAAAATTTTGACGATTATCGCCAATATTTTTCCATAGAAAATTTTGACGATTATCGCTAATATTTTTCGATTGAAAATTTTGGCGATTATCGCCAATATTTTTCCATTGAAAATTTTGGCGATTATCGCCAATATTTTTCCATTGAAAATTTTGGCGATTATCGCCAATATTTTTCCATTGAAAATTTTGGCGATTATCGCCAATATTTTTCCATTGAAAATTTTGGCGATTATTTCCTAGATTTTTGTATAGAAAATTTGGGCGATTATCGCCAATATTTTCCTATAGAAAATTCTGGCGTTTATTGCCAATATTTTTCCATAGAAAATTTTGGCGATTATCGCCAAGATTTTTGTATAGAAAATTTTGGCGATTATCGCCAAATATTTTTCCATAGAAAATTTTGGCGATTATCGCCAAATATTTTTCCATAGAAAAATTTGTCGATTATCGCCAATATTTTTCCATAGAACATTTTGGCGATTTTTGCAAAGTTTTCCCCATAGAAAATTTTGGCGATTATTTCGAACCTCCTTATCTCACATATCGTACTTACACTTTCTTCCAATCGAACATCCAAGTTGTTGACACATGTCTGATTCTCCTTTAGATATTGTCCGCTCCTTGTGATTAGGTCTTGGAACGACAGCATGGAATATAGAAATATACCCACGTCTACATAGTACATGATCAAAGCGATCGGCATCCACACCACTATCCATGGACTATAGTCCTCCCAGGGAATATTTGCCGAGCAGTAAATTAAATAAATCACCGATATACTGTTCAGGTATATGGTTAGCAGGACACAAGCTCCCTGGACTTCATACATCCTATTAATACGTCCAGCGATTTTTCGCAAATCTATTTGATATCTGGCCAATTCATCTACCTCATCGGCAAATTTACAGCACTGGGTTATAAAGAAGCCTGCAGGTGCTTGTCCCAGTCGTTGTAGGTGGACGAGATGTTCAGATTTCAGGAGAATCGCCAAGAGTTCCTCATTGATGGCGGCCAGTAAAATATTGATGTGGAGGATACAAAAGAAATAACTGGTCACCACCAAGTTGAGGACATTGTCCAAGACATACAAGCTCAGGATGACCATGATATTGTCAAAAGTAAATTGATGTTTGAAGAATTTGAGAGATCCCAACATTAGACACAAACTCGAGGCAAACCCCCAACAGAATTTGGAACGTATCAGGTTCTCATATTTTTCTTCCAACCTCGAGCTCAGAGGCCGTTTATTCAGAAATGCCTTTTTCAGTCGAATCAATTGCGCCAAGGCTCGCATGAATTCCTGGCGTTTTGTCCAATTGAATACCACCGTCACCAACACCGATGCTATTCGGATCAGAAATATCAGGAAGTGGATTTTGGCATGGAAATATTTGGGGTTAATGGTAATGTGCCGTAA